TGACAACAGGATTAGATCGGTCATATGCTTTACAAAGTAAAACTTATGAATATATAAGAATTTGAATGTAGTCTAGATTTACGAATATAAATGCTACTTCTTTGTGAGACAATTTCCGGAACAATTCCTCCACACAAACTTGTTCATGACTAAACCCCAGAATCTAACTAAAAAATCCACATGATTTAAAATTGTTCAGTTGAAGGAGGTAAAGTGCTCTCAAGGTATTTGAAGATATTGTAGTAGATGATGAGCGTATAGGAACTGTAAATGTCAGACTATCATGTGAAATTAGGAATGGAGATGTCATAAACTTCTTCTTCAAAAAAAATATAATTAACTTCGAGCTCAACTCTGGATGTTACTTGAATTATGGATCAATGCAAAAAAGCTGCAAATATTTCAAGCAAGAATTATTGGTCTTGCTTAGGTTATATAATTGATTCCAGATTTAGTCAAAACTTTGAAGGATGGCAGGCAAATTGAAGAGACAGTAAAAGGATTGTAAACATGAAATCTGTTGGGGATTCTCAGATAAGCACAAAAGCATTTGAAGTTAGAACTTCTAAAGGGGGTCGAAACCTTGAACTTTATGCACATGTATACTAGAAGTGAATCCAGCCCATTTAGTATCATTTTTCTGCTGAGAATCTTAAGAAATTACTAGAGATATCTTGAACTCTTGCGTCTCTCTTACACAGTAATAGTGTGTAATCTAGGTATTCTATATAGATCGCCAAATTCACTCATCCTCAATTAGGATTTGATTGGGAAATTCAGCACCTTGTGAGCATTTAACTGGAAGTATTAAGATAATTCTTTTCCACAGTAAATACAACTCTGAAACTGAACTTATTTTCATCATCATAAAAAACCATAACAAAACAAAAGAAAGCATCACTAAGCCTTTCTACGTGTGTAATTTCTGAAAATTTTCATCATTCAACTTACAATAGTTGGACTGTAGTCAAATTCTTCTGAGATGGGTTTCTGCATAGTTGAGGCCGAAGTAAGGGTATGCATCTTCAAATCATCAACCACCTGAACACAAATATGCTTGTTGGAGAGGAAAACACCCAATCTTGGTCTTTCTGGTGTTCCTTCAACCTGAGAAGTCAAGAAATCGATGATGGTGAGTCATCATTTAGACACAAGACAGAAAGAAACTAGTCTGAAGAAAGGAATGAAATCCAAGTTCTATCACGGACTGTAAAATACATAGAATTACATCAATTCGGTGAACAAGAGGCCATCACACAAAAAGGGTCAAATCAAGAAAGGAACATCAATCGAAACTTTAATTCGGTTTAAGTACCAAAAGAACACGTGATGTATAGATAGTTCTAACATTCTCTTTTTATTATCTGGATAAAGATGCATTATGTGGAAGGTTTCCCATGAGAAATATGTACAATTAATCATTCATCTGAAAATGGGGTGCACAATATATTCATTTTCGTCTCCTATTAAAATAAAAAATAAAAAAGGAAACACTTGTTCACCACCCAAGTCATGTTTCATGAACTAAATGATCAGAAAATTAAATTTCAGAAAAATTGGTGACAACGAAAGTTACTATACGAACTTCCATTCCGAATTTCACTACAGAAATTGCAAACACCTCTCTTCCAAGCTCCACAACTACATCCCCTGATATCTTAATTGCAAGAACCCTTTAATTTTACATATTCAGCAATGCAATTGTTCAAAATATAAATTCAAAAACGAGATTAAAAAAAAAAACCGATTACGTGCCTTCTTACGATTACGAATATGACGGGCAGTCCTGTCTTCTCTTCTGGTTTTGGTTTTGGCTTCAATAACGAGAAGCCGAGGCCGATGGGTCACTGCTGCAACTGAACTGAGGCGGCAGCCATGGCTAAGCTGCTGCTGTCTAGTATTCACCCAAGAGGTCTGTAGGAAGGATAATGTCACTGAATTACAAGGCATTTCTTCTTCGATTCTCTCTACTGTATGTGGAGAAGAAGAGCGTGTGTTCGTTTCTATAGATGACTAGTTATAGCATTGCATGGACTTTGTCATTTTGAAGGTAATATTAGTGGTAATATTAGTGCTGAGTTCGACGGATTAAAGGGATATATAAGCAAGGATAGCAAAATGAGCTTAATTGAACAAAATAAATTTACATATGATTTCACCCATAAAATACAGTTATAAAACATTCAAAGAGTGCGAAGAAATTTGAAAAAACTTAAACGAGATCTATAAAGAATTTATCTTTCGAAATTCTTATGTAAAAAATAAAACAAAGAACAATTATACATTCAGAGAAGTATGGAAAAAATAATTCTTCATCTTTACAATCATCATCTGTTGCATTTATTTGTTCATCTAACGCCATCACATTTTTAATAGTATACTTCAGTGCACCATCACCCATCACCTTGTTGTCCTCTCCCTAATCTGTCAAGATGTTGCATAATCATAAAATCATCTATCCAATCAATAAAAGCATATTAAAGACAACACAAAAGTGAATATTCCTTATAAAAGACTACCTTAGAAGCTTTGGTATCTTATGGCGTTCGAAAAGAATAGAGCGAATTGGTTGCACAAATGTAAGACTACAAGATAAAACTTCTTAGAACTAACCTTGGAAAATATGCCTAAACTTTGATTCATCGTCATGAAGATCCCTCGCAATGAGTTTGTGTATAGGTGTGTCTGTGAGAAATCCCGAGGCATGAAATGGAAAAATTAGATAAGAATCATTATTGCATGATGTGAAATTATGATATTATTGGACTACTATTACCAAGAATAGAGAAGCCTTCATGTGTGCTAGTATCACTTGCGGTTAGTATCTTGCAAAAGTAATCGATTCTCTGATAAGAGTTCCCAACTCCACTGGAAGATGCATATTTTTTTTATTCTTGCTGTACTAAACGTCAATGAAACATTAGTTCTAACCAATGTGCAATATAATTAGAAGAAGGTGCAAAAATCATCACACAATCTGAGTCTGATTCGAGAATATCGGAGTCAAGGGTTGAGCATATAATTTATCCGTCTTAACATGTGCTCGAATTTTAACAAATAAATACAACTCTCCTATGTAAAAGAATTCTCCATAAGTTCATAACAAGACTATAAGAATGATTAATGTATAAAGTTCAAAAACTCACATGCATTGTAACATTGTGGAGTTAGCAGAGCAACTGGAGTTGGGAAATTGTACTATGTAAATAAAATATCATCTTAATCAAACCAATTAAGAAGAAATTAGAGTTTAATTACATTAGTAAAAAATACTTGCTCACTCGAACCTTTAAAATTGTTCTTCCTGATTTTTGCCAAGAGTTCCCATTTTCTTTCCTAGCTCATGTATTGCTTTGATACCAATTGTTATGGTTGGAGGTGAACTTCAGCAGAACTCAACCAATAACCAGGAGCTATAAACTCAATATGCAGGATATAAATTGTAATAACTCAAATTGAAGAACATAATCTGAAATATTTCATAGATTGATACCTTCTATTACAATGTAGGGGATTACAATTAAAATGACAAATATAAAAGCGAAGATATAGACCAGCAGCGAAAGAAGAACAGAGACAGAAAGCATGAGAAATAAGAAAGAAGAGGAAGAGAAGAATACCAGAGAAATGAGCAGCAGAAAACAGAGAAGATAAAAGCAGGAGAAGGAGCAGGAGACTCGGACGGTAGCAGGGGAATGGAACACAGTAAGAAGAAGGCAGCAGTAGTCCAGCAAAATAAGGGAATAAGAAGAAACACCAAAAGAGGAGGAGAAACAGGGAAGAAAAGGCTTTGGTAGCAAGATAAGATTCTTCAATTCATCGACAGACTTCCAAGGCTTCAAAACAACCCTATGTAGATAAAACAACAACCCACAAAATAAAGGGCTTGGGCTAGCCCACTATACAAGCCCAACTAGATCAAATAAAGGTAAATGATCTAATAAGCAAGAGTCCATGACATCCATTCCCTTAAATTAACCTTGTCCTCAAGGTTAAAAATAGGAATGTCTCCTTTGTATGTTGTTAGCTGTTGCCTTATTCTGTGCACCATCCTTGGATTAAGCAAGTAGTGCAAAGCGACATATGCTTGTTAGACATTATTTGCCCCACCTTTAATAAGCATGCTCAACAACCTTTGGATAAAAGTGGCTGATATACCAGATGCCCAATCATGATTAATTGAACTAAAGAAGAGTGCATAACGGAAGCATTCTACATCAATTGTTTCGGTAAAATCCTTCCCTGTAAGATGGTTGCTAGCAAGATCTACAATGGCCTGAAAAACATATAGATGTAGCTGAATCGCGGTGGCAAAGTTGCAGCCCACATCATCTCTATTTTCCTAGCAATGAGAGTGGACACTTGTACATTTAAGAGCCCACTCTCTGAATTTTCGGACCTTGACACCACCTTCTGCCTTTAAAACTTCATCTCCATTGCATTCTAGTAGTCGTTAAAGTGGAGCTTCCCTAGAAAAAATGACATCCCCACTTCTTTTCCCTTCGACCTTCGGAGCATTAGTAACTGCAGCCTCATTTTCATGATGATTACCATTGCTAAGAGTCGGATCTCCGGTTTCATCATTTTCCTTTTCCATGTCTTCTTACTCATCTTTATTTTCAGCAAATCGTTTACAAACCTCACTTGAAAACATGTCCCAATCAGCATTGGGATGGTTGGCAATGAATCCATAAAACCATACGTAAGCCCTCCCTTCCAAATACATCTTTGCAATTCCTAGCCTAAGTTCGTCAGGGACTTGGTATATCAAGAAGTATTCCCTAGCCTTCCTAAGCCATTCACTAGGTCATTCTCCTCTAAAGTGGGGGCAAATCAACCTTAGGAAGCTTGGTATTCCCCATATACTGTGGCAGACATTGAGCATATTGACTTAAATTATCATCAGAAGCAGGTACCTTAATATCTAGATTTAGAGAAACCTGTCTAGTTTAAAATCCTCTAAGATATGCCAAATAACTCAAACTCACTAGTTATCAACCATGATCCTTAGATTTTATGTCACGTTACTCAATTTTCTCCTCGTAGACAGCAAAAGGGAAGCTGGAGGGACTAGAGATACTCCTGGTGACATTCATCCTATTAATGGTGAGTTACAAACAGACAACTGCAAGGAGTTGAACATAGAGGTACCATTGGAAGAACAAAACCGGCCACTGTATTCTATCCACACTCATGGTCAAAGGGAACAATCAAGTCATCACTTAGTGGCTGGTGCAATGGGAAGGAACCAACATGGATGATACAACCTGGGAAACTTCAGAATTTATACAGACAAAATTTTCTTCATCGAACCTTGGGGACAAGGTTATTCTAAGGGGAAGAGATGTTATGAGGAGAAGCAAGGAGGCCAATTGAAGTGGGAAAGAAAGAAAAGAGGATGACTAGAGCAAGACAAGCAGAGGAAGAAGGAAATGCAGCCAACGGTTTCCCTGAAATTCAAATCCAGAAACGGTGTCGTTTTAGTTCAATCTTATTTTGTCAAAGTTAAACACGTTTCTTAATTTCTCTTCCTTTTACGCTTTTGTTTTATATTATAACCTAGGGATGGAATTGGGAGATGGGCTTGAATGATTGTGGTAAAAATCCCATTTTCTCTCTGAATTCTCTCTGTATCTCTTCTTCTCTTCAACTCTCTTTCTCTTTACCTATCTGTTCTTCTTCTTTACCGTTCTCTCCCTTCAATATTTGAATCTTCTTCTCTATTCATCTTCTCATTTTTTTTGTTAATTCTGTGTTCCTTATTTCCTTGCATTTCAATTTATGTTTTCTGTTTGTATTTTGCTACTTTTGGTGTAATTACAATCCAATCAATGAAATTGCAGCTGGGTTATTGAATCCCAGTTTATTATATTAAATTGTTTGTGTTGATTTTGATTGGAGTTTAGTTGGTTTTGGTGTGAAGTTGAGCATCAACCATAACACTTTAATGGAGGTGGCAGCAATAGATTGGAAAAGCATTGATTTAAGATTTGTGAAAGATGAGGTTTATGAGCACATCAATGCCCCTCAATGGGTCGATTTCTCAGCTCCCAACGAAAATACCGCCGATGATGAAGCCTAGTTGTGAGAGGAAGAAAGAGACTAATGATATCAAGATAATGAAAAATTGAGCACCGAGGCTGAAAAGTACTTTGTTAGCTCGGAATTTGTTTTTTGGTGGCGATCTACTGAACAAGGTTGCAGAGTTCTGCAACGAGTTGAAGAAATTGGCAACGAGGGAAACGGATAGTGCTGAAGATGTGAATGGGAAAAATGCAGAGAAGCATTTGGTTGACCATTCACGAGATTTGGACAATAAAGAAAAGGAAAGGAAGCCACTGCTTCAGTCAAGTCAAGTAAAAAGTGAAGCGACTAAAAAGAGCTACTCAAAGGAGAAGCAAACAAGGAAAAAGTAAATTTCTCTTTTTCTTCTTGTTTTTATACGTACCTGTATTTGTTCAACATGCATATAAATACAGGAAGTTTAGTGATGCATAATTGACATAAAAGTGTACTCCACCACTAAATATACATTGTGTAAAATCTCATTTCTTGACAACTTTTCGTCTCATATAATTTGGTTTTATATTTGGTTAGACCCAAGTTATGATTTTGTAAATTAGTGTGTAGTTATAAGACTTCTTGGTTGTGACTTTGTGTTAAAGATTATGAGTGTGTTTGTTTGTGATTTTCTTCAGATTTTCAGCAAGAATATGACCCTTTTTTTCAATTGGTGGCCCCCACATCCCTCACACCAAGACAATTGTTGCGGCTGAAGGACAAAGCAACGGTCATAAAAATGCTTAAAATCATGCCAAAAATCTCCACTAGGCTGGCTCTATTTCGTTATCAAACCCATTATGGATGTTGACAAATCAAAATTTGACGAAAACCCTGACAATGCAATAAACATATGATCTACATTGACCTTGAAACTCAGCTTTATATTTATGTCTTCAATGAGAGTGTTAGGAACGATCATAAACAACAATTGCACGTATACCTTCACACAGCTTGCTAGAAGCTACTATCCTCTCCTTCCATAGGGGTTTTAAAAGTTCTTTGAAAACTCATAACTAATCAACCTACACAGAATTTTAGGTATACTGAGTACAATTAACAAAAAAAGGGTGATTAATAACATTCTGCAGTGAACTTGGTGGAAATTGAGTTGTGCTCATGTTGTTCAACAGCTTATCAGGTGGACGCTTTGACAACCAGGCGTGGTCAAAAAAGGGGAGGGGTTGTTGAGGGGCTTGCAACTCAGGTTTTGTAAAAATGTCTTGTTAAATGCTTTCTTGCCTAATCATATCCTCCCCTATTGTGTACATGGCTAGATATAGAACTGAAAGTGAAGTCATATCACTGCAGCTATTGATAGACCTAGATGGTACAGATCAGCAGAAGGGTGTTTATGTAATTGGTGCCACGAATAGGTACAAATTGTTATTTGTGTCAAGTTTACTATGGGCAAGAGAAGAAAAATGATTTTCTGATTAAAAGTCTTATGTCGTGAAACTTAGGGGCTGTTCTCTATGTGTTTCAATTTTGTGTTTTGAATTCATTTTGGATTTTGTGTGTCCATTTTGAGACTGTTAAAAATGTGTTCTTTTTGCTATTTTGAAAAATTGTTTTGAAAACACCCAAAACGCGTTTCGAAAGTTTTGACTTGATTATAACTGAAAACTCTAAAAACGATAAATTTGTCATTTTGGGTTTTCTTTGTAAATTTTTAACTTGTTTTTAAAAACGCGTTTTCGAAAATAGGAAAGAGAACACATTTTCACTATTTTGGAAAATAAAAAACAAAACACAGCTTGAAAATGTTAAAGAGAACCGACCCTTAACATCTTTGATCTTAATACAATACCAGGCCTGAAGTCATGGACCGTGCCTTGCTTTGACCAAGAAGATTTGGGAAACCTTTATATGTCCTCTTCCCAATTTAGATGAACATGGTTTAATTTTGACAGCTGTTGGTAGGAAGAAGCGAATAGATGCCAATGTGGATTTGATGACAATTGGAAGTGACAGTGCTTATAAAAATTTCAGTGGAGTCGACCTTATTGCTTTGGTTTGTCTGTACTTGATTGTTTTCTTCATAGGTAACGATATTTTAGCAAAACTGGTCTTGATTACTATTTAATTAAAATAACCAGTTGCTAGTAGATTCATAATTGTTTTATGTGAGTAAGTAGTGTTAGTTAAAACACACATGACAAATATGGCGAAAAAATGCTTTGTTGTAGCCCAAGACATTTTTTGAAGCATAAATAAGTCATCCTAAAATAATTTGATAGGGACTTAAATGAATGTGGTTCAAGTGAGAAAATGGGACTTGCATTCTATTTCTTCATATCTCTTGACGTAAATGCTCATACCTTATGATGATTAGTCTCAAGCTTTGCTATTTTTATTTATGCCAAGTGAATGAAGCTGCTATGGCAGCTCTTGAGGACAAATGGAATTCGAGAAACGAAGTTTCAGATGCGGGCCATGGACAATCAAAGAAACACACTTCAAGTAGGCACTGGAGAGAATATCTTCATCTGTTTCAGATGTATCGTGCTTGATTTTGTTATTGTAATATACCTCAAGAAAAATAAATGTAACTGTGTCAATTTTTGTGTTTGGTTGCAGAAAACATGAACACTTGTCAAAAGTTTCATAACAGCTTCAGAACGGACCTGATCAGGTGAAAAACGCACTCTTAGGACTTCAGTTGTCTGCACAATTTAGTAAAGAATCAAGCTAGAAAATTTTTTGGTTCTGAAGAAAGAAGTCTTAAAAGTTTTTGATTTAGGAAATTCAGTGTATTTTTCCATGTTATTAATCACCCTCTTTTTTGTTAATTATACTCGGATACCTAAAATTCTGTGTAGGCTGATTAGTTATGAGTTATGAAGGAACTTTTAAAATCCTTATGCAAGGAGAGGGCAGTAGCTTCTAACGAGCTGTGTGAAGTTGTACGTACAATTGTTGCTTATGATAACTCCTAACACCCTCATTGAAGACATAAATAAAAAGCTGAGTTTCAAGGCCAAAGTAGATCCTCTATTAAAATGGAAAATTACACTGAATTTCTCAAATCAAAAACTTTTAAAACTTCTTTCTTCAGAACCAAAAATTTTCTTGTCTGATTCTTTACTAAATTGTACAGACAACTGAAATCCTAGGAGTGTTTTTTTCACCTGATCAAATCCGTTCTAAAGCTGTTATGAAGCTTTTTGACAAGTGTTCATATTTTCTACAACCAAACATAAAAAAATTGACACATTTACATTTATTTTTCTTAAGGTATATTACAATAACAAAATCAAGCCTGATACATCTGAAACGGATGGGGATACTCTCCATTTCCTGCTTGAAGTGTGTTTCTTTGATTGTCCATGATCCAGCATCAGAAACTTCGTTTTCCGAATTCCATTTGTCCTCAAGAGTTGCTATAGCAGATTCATTCATTTGGCATAAATAAAAATAGCAAAACTCGAGACTGATCGTCATAAGAGATGAGCATTTACGTCAAGAGAGAAGAAGAAATAAAATGCAAGTCGCATTTTCTCACTCATACCACATTCATTCAAGTTCTATCAAATTACTTTAGGATGACTTATTTATGCTTCAAAAAATGTCTTGAGCTGTAACAAAGCATTTTTTCACCATCTTTGTCATGTATGCTTTAACTAACACTATTTACTCACATAAAACAATTATGAGCCTTCCAATCTACTAGCAACTGTTTAGTTTAATTAAATATTAATAGTAATCAAGACCAGTTTTACTAAAATACAGTTACCCTATGATGAAAATGATCAAATACAAACAAACCAGAGTAGATAGGTCAGTTCCACTGAAATTTTTACAAGCATTGTCACTCCCAATTGCCATCAAGTCCACATTAGCATCTATTGGCTTCTTCCTACCAATAGCTGTCAAGATTAAACCATGCTCATCTGGACTGGGAAGAGGGGCATATAAATGTCTCCCAAATCTTTGTGGTTGAAGGAGGTCATGGTCCTTGACTTCAGGACTAGATTGTATTTATCAAGATCTGAGATGTTAAGTTATATGACAGAAGACTTTTAATAAGAAAATCATTATTCTTCTCTTTTCTACAGTAAATCTGACACAAATAACAATCTGTACCTATTAGTGGCACCAATTATATAAATACCCTTTCCCTAATCTGCACCCTCTAGCTCTATCATAGCTGCAGTGATATCGCTTTGGTTTCAATTCTATATCTAGTCGTATACACAGCAGTGGAGAATATAATTAGGCAAGAAAGCATTTAACAAGACATTTTTACAAACCTTATCTAAGAGCTGCTCAACAACCCCACCTCCTTCTTGACCACATTTGGTTGTCAAAGCTTCCAGTTGATAAGATGTTGAACAACATCAATAAAATCCCAATTTCCACCAAGTTCCAGGAGAATGTTACTAATCACCATATTTTGTTTATTATACTCAGTATACCTAAATTCTATGTAGGCAGATTAGTTATGAGTTATCAAGGAAATTTTAAAACCCTTAAAAGGAATGAGAGGACAGTAGCTTTTAGAAAGCTGTGTACCATCCTTGACAGACTTTGTTATTTATGATTGCTCATAGCACTCTTATTGAAGACATAAATAAAACGATGAGTTTCAAGGACAAAGTAGATCCTCTGTTTATTGCATTGTCATGATTTTCGTCAAACTTCGATTTGTCAACATCCATTATGAGTTTGATGACTGAAAATTGTCCAAACAACCAACTCATTTTCATGAACATATTTAATGAGAAGTCCAAGGCCCTTGATAGACAACAGAAAACGTAACAGAGCAACAATACTAATTATTTGCGAACAAAAACTTATGAAATAGCAATAGTTTTCAACTAATTAGAGATTAAGGTATTACTTTTGGGTGCCTGCAGCAATACATCCCACTAAAGTCAGTAGAATTAGTGAGATTCTTACTTGGACCTATCGATTGTCAGCCGAGTGATAGTTTGGTGATTGAAAGATTAAATCTCACCTATAACTATTTTGATATACCAACTAAGTGGGAGTTTTCAGACTGAAAGAATTACTGTAATTGTACGCTTAGAACTCATGAAAAATTGCATTATGAAATTAAGTTTATGTTAGTAGAATAATAAGATTCCGGACGATGATTGAGACCATAGTGAACTTTCGACTCTATACCTAATGTTAAACTACTATTTACGTTAATTTGCATTAATGAAAAATTGTATATGTGCATAAATGGTCATTGATTGAGGATAAAAATGTCTCTAAAATCTGATAGATCATGACATCAAAATCTATAGTTGTTGACCTTAATAAATGTGATAAGCTGAATGCGATAACATTTGGCATGATAAGATTTTTAGTGTACTAAAAGAATATAATGCTTTAGAGAGCACCGATCGCGTCAAGTACGAAGAAAGATAGATTTTAGTACTTGAGCAGTTGAATTGTTAAGTTATGTTATAGATGATTCTTTTCTCAAATGTGATTGAGCTGAGATGGTTAACATAGTATTGGCAATTTTTTGTTGGTCACAATTTCTTTCATGTTGAAGTATGCTTTGAACTAGGTTGCAATGTTACCTCGAAGTCAGACATTGTGATGATGTGCTTTTCTATTTCTTCAAGTGACAAATCTTGTTTCCACCAGCGCTCAACACGCTCCCCTTCTACAGGACCCTTAAACTTTCATTGGCATAATATCCTTTCCATTGCTAGATAACCAGCCTTTTTCGTAAATGCTTCCAGGTCAGGACCAACGAACCCTGTAGTGGACTTCAAGAGCAGCTTCTACTTTTAGATTTTTTGTAAAGGCTGACAAAATATCAACCCTTGCACTTTCGTCTGGGAAATCTATGTCAATCTCATGGTCAAACCGTCCAGATCTCCTCAATTAGGGATGACAACGGGATGGGTATGAACGAGTCGGCCATTCCCACCCCCGCCGCATTGTGTATTTTTGTTACCTTGCCCATCTCCATACCCGTTTAAAGCTGGGCGGGGCGGGACGGGGCGGGGCGGGGTCGCATCATTTATTTTTTATTTATTTTATTTTTGCTTTTATTTTTTTTTATCTTTTTACTTAGTAAATATTATTATTTTTTACCAATTTGTTAGAAGCAACTTATGTTCTTTTTACAAATATGATAAATCTATTATTTTTGTTTGATAAAAATCTTAAATTTAAAATTAACTTTAAACGGGACGGGTAACGGGGCGAAGACTATGATTCTCGTACCCGTCCCGTACCCGCTTCGGGACAATGACTCTTGCCTTGTCCCGTCATGTTTACCAGATTAGGCGGGTAATCCCCGCCCTGTTCGGGAGGGACCCCATGAGTTTTGAGTTGAACGAGTTTTTTTACCATCCCTATCCTCAATATAGGAGACTCTGCCATCTTAATGTGCCCTTACAATCTTCTTCAATTCTGCAACACTGCACTTTCAATTTGAAAAATACATCACAACAATACATTTAAACGGTTCATACAGTGAAAGAGTAGTGCAAAGTAGCGCAAATTCGTTCAGTGAAATCTATATTGTTGCCGTAATCTAAATGTGGTTACAATCGATCAGAATTGTGCTCAAAGTACAAGACAGTATTTATTCATAAATAGACCAAATTCACTTGTAGTTTCTAACATGATAATATGGCTGCATATTTAGTGAGGCCAGCTTCCAACATGTCCTTTCTCTCGTTAAACATCTGATCGAGTCAACGAGTCGGCCATTCCAATATATGTACTCATTATTAAAAAAAAAAGAGTTTTCACTTATCATGATGTACTCATTATTCTTGAAATCTGTATCATAACATCGTATAAAATCATAATGCTAGTGCTAAATCATAAATTAGACTCAAGCTCATATCTAAAAATGATAATAATTGATACAACAAGATGAGTAAGTACATTAATCGAATTCAATAAGCTAAAATCATAATCTGAAATCAATAAGCTGAAAGCTAATAATCCACTACATACTAGATAATCACATCAAAATATATCCTATGTAATCATATGCTGATGATCTGAAAGCTATAAAGTCATATGCACATAAACTGTCTGATCAACACTTATGTACACGACCGTAATCCCTTAGTACACAAAGTGGAAATAACATAATCATCCTTATACACGGCTGTAGCCCCTCAGTGCATAATAGGTACCCTTACACATGGCCGTAGCCCCTCAATGGATGAGAGTTACCTTTACACACGGCTGTAGCCCTTCAGCGTATAGGAGTCAAATACACGACTCTAGTACACGGTCGTAGCCCCTCAGTGCACTAGAGTAACATAACTACATCGAGTATTTTCTGATGGTTTCAAAATAATCATGCTCATTTACTAATTTCTAGAAAATAAGACAATTCGTGTAACTAATATGCTTATCTAAAAATTGGGAATCATTTCAACATTCATATTAAGTAAACATGATTATAAGTTTATAAATTCAAATTCTTCTTTTTGGAAAAATGTGTTCCCCACTCATAGATATAGGCTGGACTAACGGGGCTGGTATGTTGTTCCCACGTCCAAATCCCCTCCTGAAATGATCA